GCTACGGCACAATGCATAATTATACATCACATTTTATTGTCTTCGTGAGACAAAATAATAATAAGAAAATACAGTAGTAATAATCTTTATTTTTTATTAGAATTTAGCAAATATCATACAGTATGTATTTGTTTTTACATTAAATAGATTAATTGTTGTATATTTTAAATGGGATTCTACAAAGATATGGAAATGAAGAAATATCAAAGAATACATCTTGATATTAATTTTTATAGGAGCATCGAAGGTCTGCACAATATCATTCGAATTTAAATATCTTTCAACATCATATTTATATGCCTGTTCGCATCTCAAATGTCTTATTGCACAATCCAAATCTAAAAGGAACGGTTTTTTTATTTTACTCATTATCAATGATTAGAGATGACTGCATAAAATAACCCGGGAACCAAGACGCAACCAAAAAGTTTCAAAAGAGTAACTAAAAAAATAAAAAATAAATAATAATATTGAGCGTTTATAGCCGTAAGGGAGTTTGTTCCATTTTATAAAAAGACATTTACCTGCTCTCCTGCGTAAGGTCATACTACGATCAAGATTCTTCACGGATTCGGCAATCATTTCATCGATCTCGTTAGTGAAAAATATCCTGGATTCTTCAAAATTCTTCTCCCAATCAATGACATTAGTAAAATATGCGCCAATCACTATAACATTCATATTCTCGAACTTCTCTATCGCCATTTGCTTATATCGTTCTGCTTGCATTTTAACTGCCCTCCTACTGATCTTCCTAGAGATTTTTTTTTGTTTGCCATGTCCCGTGTTCAAGTTCTTTACCTCCACCACCATCAACACACCGAAATCCGAAGCGAATATTAAATCCCCTTGTCCGAATTGTGATTGATTATCGACGAAATACCATTCGTTCTGAAAGAGGTATTTGAATCCCGGGATGAATTTATTAGTACCAAAGATGAGTTGGCGCTTCAGTTTTTGCTCCATGGGGTTTATGTCGACGAATTTTGAGAATCGTTGTCGCTGTTGTTTGTGTTGACTCTTGAGATATCCTGTGAACGGGTGATACCACTTGTGAGAGATTCGAAGAATATTCTCGAGCAACGGTTGATTGATTTCTTTACAATCCACAACCAATTCATCCAATGTTTTCGCGTCATCGACATCAGAGGTATACTTGTATTCTCGAGAATTTACGGTCTTGAGATCAAAAAGATTTCGAAATTCGTTATCGATAATCTGTTCTATATTGGCATTTTCGAGAGACCTGTGGATCAACTGCTTCTTCTCTCCGTTGAATGAATGTTTGAAAGTTGTTTTGCCAAGTTGAATATTCGTAAGGATGGTTTTGCAAATTTGAAGAAATAAGTTTTGTTCATCCTTGTTGTAGCGATAGGAATTCTTAAAATCGGGAAGAGTACAAGATAAGCACTTGCAGTTTGAATTCGTCGGCTTGGGAAGGGGTGACTCTGATTTTTTTAATGCTGAGTATCGTCTCTTGAACGAGGAATTTTTCTTGAGAAGATAATAATCATGGAAAATATATTGATGAGCACCTTGACAATATAATCTATTTTGCTTGAGTGACTTTTTAATCATTATACACGTACAGTGTAAAACAATAGGATGATAAATTCGAAATCCATGTGCGTATGCATCAGTGTGATCGATCATATGACTCGGTTACATAAGAAACCATTTTTCGCACATTCGTGGTTAGCTCTCTTTTCCCATCATTGCAATTTTGGTCCATCGAAAATGTCTGCGGCTGATCAAGGCACAGTGGAAACCACGATAAATCGTGCTCCCACGTCCGAGGAATTAAAGAAATTTAAATTTGTTAGGCTCCTCAGTGAAGGTAAATGTCATTTTCATAAACAAAAAATTTAACCGTTCACCACAAATTGATTGAAAACACTCACAAAATCAAGATCCTCGCACCAAAACGGCCGCGATTCTCGGTACTCTGGGTTTTCAATCTCACGACTCGGTTTCTCACGATGCCGTCATTTTATTGGAAAAATTACATTTTGGTACTGATGAGTTTGAGATGTTTACGCATGATCGAGTATCTCAATATAACCAACTAGATAAAAACGATGTATACCATTGGTACAATATTTTGTTGAACAAAAACGAGAAATGGCCGGATGCAAAGGTCACTTTGATCTGGCCAGCTACAGAAACTGTAAATTAATTCGTGACTTGTTCCGTCCTTTAAAAAAAAATAAATAATAACAATCTGTTTACAACGTTTTCATTACAGCACATCAAGAAATACAGTTTCCAGCAAAGATTTCTCGTATGCGAGACACCAGAGATTTACGAAAAGGTTGTCAAACCTCACATTGATTCCATTCCACAGAGTAGAATACAGTGGGTTTATAATATTTTGTCTAAACAAAGTGAATCCGAAAAATTGATTTTGGAAGTTGAAGGAGAAGATAAAGGATTTATTCTTTTGCCAGACATGTAAGAAGATGTCAGGTTAAACGATCCATCGTGAATGAGGTTCGCTAATCTCGTTTGGTTGGTTGCTTAGGAAATGGGACAACAAAACATTGGAATCTCTTTATCTTCAAGTAATCGTTCATAGAAGAGATGTGCGTTCATTGCGAGATTTAAACGAGACCCATTTGCCACTGTTGAAAAATCTCCGCCAGAAAGTTCTCGAAAACGTACCAAAGAGATACCCCGGTGTTGGCGCAGATGAATTACGTTTATTCGTGCATTACCAACCTTCATATTGTAAGTGCGTTCATAATTCGCTTTCTTTTTTTTTTTTCGTCTGTTATCAATTTCATCTTATACTTTGCGATACGACTTTTCTGTCGTCTCAAACACTCAAGATCATTTCCACGTTCATATAATGCACATACGCAACGATAGCATCGCGGGTGGAATCGCCATTGCTAAGGCTTTTCTGTTGGATGATATAATTGAAAACATCGAGAAATTTGCCGGCGATTATTATCAACGATGCAATTTAACTTACATCATGGGCCAAAATGACGCGTTGTTTTCAAAATTGAATGACGCTGGTGCAAGGGTTAACCCTGATTGCTAATTTTCTTGTATTTGATTTATTCGTATGAACATGGGTAAATAAAATATACAGATAAAAAGAATCTTTATAAATTCAAGATGCGATAAAATCAGTTAGATCGGATGACAATGCGGTAGTAAATTTTAACTTCTTCATGAAGTTAGTGACAGGCTCCGAATGTGCCATGTCTGGGTAGATCTTGATATTCAAATTTTCAATTGATAGGTCTTTCAGGACTGAACCAAATTCGATAGACGCCTGTACTGGAACCATTGTGTCCTATGGTAAAAAAAAAAATAAAGACAGAAGTAGATTAGAAATGAAAATTAACAACGACCGTCCTCCTTGAGAAAGAGATTCACCAGTTCCCCGTGTATAATCAAAATCTTTTGAGGCATCAAATTTTTTAGTTGGCACACATCGACTTCTTTGCTCTCAACTAAATTCTGGATCAACAATTTAGGTGAATTTCTAACAAGTGATTCTTTTGACCAACCTAATGAAAAATAAATGATTGAGCAAAGAAATATACACATGCATGCAAAAGCGTGGGTTTGTCGGTTCTCCACTTACCCATGGCTCTCCTCATTGCAGAAATTTCTTCGACTGCTTTATGAGCTTCAAATTTGTAATGTTTTGGTATATCATAAACGCCTACAAGGTTTTGCGATAGTTAGTTGTGTGTGCACGATATCTACAAGAAACACGGAAGGCCTTTAAACCACAGGATCTCATTACCTGACATTCTTAAATGCGTAATATATTCAAAGTTGAATCAAAAACTTTAGTCACATTGACAGCCGCACACAAACAACGAATTATTATCATCATTATTTATGAAAAGAAAGACTTACAAAATCAACCCAGAAATTTTAGGTAATGTCCATTCGGGATCGATGTCTTGCAGCGTGGGATCCGCTTTTTCCTCGTTGTTACGTAATTTATAAATCGCATCGTTAGCCGTCAGCAAAGCCAGCATATGGGCACCTGCCGAGTGACCCTAGAATTTATGGTTTTCGCACGCAAACACGCATGAGAACAGAACATACGATTTAAATACAACCAAGACAACACTCACCATTCCATAAATGTTGTTTGGATCTCCACCAAAATCGCTGTTGTCATTAAGACGTATTAATCAAAGGTCACGTGGTGTATAACCGTCTCGATATACTGCATACTAACCTGATGTTTTGTTTCGTCCAACATAAGGCACGTTTGATGTCCGATAACATTCCTTCAATTTTTGTCTATTTATGATAGAACAAGACGCGTACGCATCCCAGTAAATGATTAAAAAACCATAGTTCAATTCTCAACAAAGATAAAGTGATTACTTACTTTGGGATACAGAGTGTAATTTGGCACCACCACCACGTAACCCAGTTGTGTTAATCGCAATGCAAGAAGGGTGTACGTTAACTTATTACCTAAATATCATATTTTTTTTTTGTTGACAAGAGCTCAGATTGTTCTGGAAAGAGAGAGAAAAAGGTAAAGCAATCAATTACCCGAACTCCAGGCACCTCCGTAGATGAACACGATTACGGGGTGACGAGCAGCTTTAACCGATTTCGTAGAGGTCTCTGGCATATACACGTCGATTTTATTCGTCATTACTCTGCTTCCGTAAGGGATGTCCTTCCTTGAATAAGAAAACGTTGTTAATTTCAAAATTTATCAGGTGAACATCACGCGTATAACCAATCTTGCAGAATTACTTTGCGACATATTTGATTTCTTTGCCCAAAACAAAAAGATTCAAGTACACATATTCCGAGAACAACGAAATATGAATCCTTAAACCCAGTAACATATTAAAAAACAAGAGGTTGAACTTTATGATTCTTTGGGGTTCGTAAGGAAGAAAAAATTCCCTGTCGTGTTGGGCTAAAATAAAAGTGATAATCAGCTGATGACTTATGGTCTGGTGCGCCGAAAGTACTGTAACTGTCAACTCACCAAAGAGTAAGTAAAACATCCAGGTAGTACCGTACGCGATAACTTTTGATTTTAATGATGACGACAGTTAAATGGATGAAAATGATCAACAAGTAATAAGTAGCTTTTATTTTTGGCCTACCGAAGAGGCACAATGGAACAACGACGATTGAGGAGGAGAGTTTGTGGAATGCATAAGGTGGACCGAAAATTGAAACCAGAGAGGAAATTCCGACATAATATGCACCAAGAACTATCGGAATCAATGTAAATGCCAACAATTGTTGATTGGTAGATGAAGACATCTTCTCTTTAATGAGTTTTTGAAATTTGATGCCAAATTCAGAATCTATTTCCGATTTGGCGAGTTCTAGAGGTTTGACGCTAGAATTCAAAGACATTATTCGTTTAGAAGGCGACGAAGCAAGGTCTCGATTTTATTATTGAGAAATACGCGAGAAATATTGGAAAACAAGCTTGAAATATAACAAGCGTGAAATATAACAAGGTAGAATATATGAACTTTTTTTTTTCTTAGGGAAAGTCTAGACCTAATTAATTCTCTATGCGGAAATTGCCAATCCTGAACATCTATAACACAGATCGCGATTTTTGATTTTCATTCATATGATTTTATTATTTTTTTTAAGACTTTTAATCAATCAATACTGGGATAACATTGGCGCAAATCGGAGGTTCTAGGCAAGGATTCGTGAGACTCGCGCAACGTTGCGGAGAAATCTTCTACCTGACCGGTTACTTTAACAATCCCGGTAACGGTCGGAGCGCGACATAATGCTTACGTAAGATTATCTAATAGGGAATCGTAAGCAAACATGGGTTACACCATTTACAGGTGAATCATCTGTTAGATGAACTCCAGAACAGCCTAGACGATTTAAGATAAAAACAATAATTGTATTTTCTCGTGTTCCCGATATCTTATTAGATTTGCCTTTAAACATTGTGATTCGCTATATTTGTTCTATTTGCTTCACACACGCGTCGACACAGCAGGAGTGAGCGGCCTACCCGAAATAGGAAATCTATCATTTACATTGCAAATGATATAGATCATATGTTCCCACCTCGACTTATGCATAACCCCACTTAAAATGATTTCCACGACCAAAAAAATCATGTACCAATGGTGCTTTCCACATAGAAAAAAGCTTATTAACAATTAATCCCGTATCCACCTTTTATGGTCTGCAAACCTTTTATGCGTGACCGTATATTTATGTTCATAGGTTCGTCTAATTTACACCCATAGTTGTGCGACCATAAAAAATTAATTACTTGCTTATTCAAGGTCTCGCAAAATTAAAAAATGATTTAGTAATGACGATTGTCACAAATCTATCTCTGCATGCATACCTGCATAATGTTTTTTCCTTTTAGTAGTGTTCGTAGCCCTTGTATCATTTCTTCTTTTGTAACTTCGCGTGCTTGTCAAAGCCACCATCCGCCACGGACCGATTCCACGTGTATCAACAACAATGGGGTCACTCCGACATTAAAAATTCAGGTTGAAGAGAGAGATCGTGTACATTAGAGCGTTGGAGGAAAGGAAAGGAAAGGCGGATACTACCCTTAGAATTTATTAACATTGGTCGGTCATTTCTAATTTCTTGTTTGATTCTGGGTCACAACAGGCAACCTCCAATTGTTCAATACCAAGAATTGCTGATCAATCGGTGATTTGTTGGAGGCATGCAAAACTTTGATCCCAACATTACTCGTACGGCTGATCCGGATTGGGTTCTGTAGAAATAATAACCTTGATCGAAACCATGGAATTTCACCCAAATGGACTTATTTATTGGATGGTAGGCGTCCGGAAGAGGACCGAAATGAAATTATTATTTCCGAAGTATTTTTAAATGGATAACCAAATTAATGGCGTGTGTGAGATGCAACGAAGTCAACGAATGCGAGACGGCTGCATTGTTCCAAATAATATTGACGATTGGAATATTCGATTTTCAAAATGACGACCCGTCATTGGTGATTGGATTTTAATGAGAATTAAAAAGTCCCAATAAGTGTACTCGACACACACACACACACACCCACACGCCCGCAGTACGTGTACGTTAAGCAATCGGAAGAGATCGGAAGAGATCACACGTAAAATTCCTATTTCCTATTTCGCCATTTTATACTATGAATCCTCTTTTCCTAAAAGGATTTCCTTGTTCTTTGAACCTTGAATAAATGAGAAATCTTTCTCAAATATTCTTTGTAAATGAAACTTACCTAGCAATTCATCCTCTTTGTTGCGATGAAATCGCGCCAGTCTTTGTGGTTCACATATTGACCAATGGTGTAATGACCGTAAATGCACACTAATTGCTGAGTGCCTGGTGTTACCCTTTTTTAAAAAAAAATAATCTCGGATTTCGTCATCTTGTCCTTAACAAAATAAGACAATTATAATCTTGTCTTCCATTTTCGTCGTCCCATGTGTCACTAGTTTATAACGTGAATACCAATAGATGTTAAATCTTAATCCAACCTCATTTGTCTTCCTAAAACGGAATTCGATTAACATCCTATTCCACTCTTCCATTCGCTCTTACAAAGAAATTTTGCCTAAATCTTTATAATGTCCGCCAAATTCACGATAGGCTTCTCTTCCGTTAATAGATAGCTCGTGTACACGTGTGTTCATACAACCTCGACGTACAGAAGAAAATCCTTCTCCAGCAAAACATAATAAATATAAGGATTTCCCTTGTGCTTTGGATTTCAAACAACTCGGGTGAATTCCCAAAGATCCTACACCTTTGTCTAGTTTTAAAAAACCCGCCCTCTCCATAATAATTCAGATTTTCGTGAAAACTTTTTTTTATTGATTCTCTCACCAAACATTTTTCCCATTCTGCTACCATCCAATTGCATCTTATTCCTCGATTTCTAATAAAAAGAGATCGATTTCACATTCTTTTACCGCTAGCGCTGGTAGCCTCGAGAATAAAAAAGTTCACGAAAGATTCCCTCTGAATTATAACCACACCTACCTACCTACCTACCTACCTTCCTATCATATCATATCATATCCTATCCTATCTTCTCCTATCTTCTCCTATCCTACTCTCCCTTTCGTCTTCCGAAAAGCATAAGTTTACTTTCTGGTATATTCATATACACACACACACATACATACACACATATATATATATAAACAGGATGTATAAATCAATCATTATCATCGTGCTCTTATACACTCTCAGCTTCTTCGCAACAGTCTCAGCGTTACCAATCGGCATGAAAAGAAGTGGAATAGATTCGGCCGATGATACCGCCTTTGGATTGTCAGTAACAAACAAGCACCAAGATGATTCTATAATCGTCAAAAGGGATTTAAACTCAAAAAAGAATATTGCCGAGGTGGCAAACATCCGAAAACGTGCTGACGACCCATCACTCGCAGCTGAAGCGGAGATTATGTAGAATCGAGTATTTCTCGCACTGATTGATTGTAAACTAAAAAAACTCCTTCATACACTATATATATATATATATATCAAACCTCATTTTTGTACAGTAGACTTTGCATTCATACATTCGAACCTCATAGACTAACAACACCTAGATGTCACTCACTCATTCACTCACTCATTCACACTCTCTTTGTTTAATGTAGATTATAAAGCATTTTTTTCTTAACGATCATTATTCATGACTTTCATTTCAAAGCATTATATATTTACTTGCATTTCCCTTTTCCCATGTTACATTTCACATCTCGTTACTTGCATTTTCACATTTTTTTTTTGTTCATAACATCTCTTTGCACTTTTTTATTTTCTCTCATATATGACAAGTTTGTACAATTTGTATAATAAATAAATTGCTGACTTTCTGACACAGATCGTCAAGAAATTAATTAAATCACATGATATGAAAAAAATATATATAAATGCGTATAATGTTGTTTGACCGATTTACAAGTTTGACGCGTCTTTAAAATACAGTATGTCTACAACGCATTCCAAAAAGAAACCCCTTCTGGTGGAAGAACTTCCGCCGCAAGTAACCTCTTACCTTTCGAGATATCCAGTAAATGAACGCGCCTGCGTCGTTAGGAAGTTATTGGCTTATGCCGTAGGCAGTTTCGAGGTGTGTCATGGTGAAATAAATGAACGCTTCAATTTCTTGTTTGATCGTTTTTCTAAGGAGAGTGCACCGATAATCAATAGCAAAAGTCTGATGAGATTCCCAATAAGCAAGCCCATCAACCATTTTCTCGGGGATGCGAAGAAATTACGAAACAGAATACGGACAATGGGTGTGCGTATCATATACTGTACATCGATTATTGCAAAGTCTCAATGTACGTACAGTACATTGTGATGAGTTCTCTGAGTTGCAACCCCTGATGAATGGATGGATTGTTTAGTCACACTTCCAAAAAAGATGGTTGACGAGATGACTCAGACACCAGGCGGATACGTACATACACCTGAAAAGATGGCCAGGGGTACGAGAGGGTACAAGAAACTGTTTGCCGGTACCAATTTTCCTTAATCATTCGACGAGCATGTTTGACGTTAGGCTAATCAAATGGATTCATAGAACTACCGCATAAAAAATTCGTTACAAACGAAAATCCTAGACCGCGAGTTGATTCAGAACAGTAAAGAAAATCACTTTCTTTATTCAATATAGGGTCTTGCGTTATAACTGACTACACGACAAATTTTTTTAGCGAGACTCCAAGAACTTGCTCGTCTCCTGAACCATCAAGTTGCTCCACGATAGCTTCGGACGAAGACGAGGATCCACAAGGTCATACGTGTCGCAGGGATCCATTCCTTGTCCACGTACCAAAGAAATCCAAAAGGGCTTTGCCGCAGAATTCTCGCCGTGTGTGCCTTTACTTTTTAGATGCATCATTTAAAAACAATAGGTTTTATTCTTACCAGGTATCATGTTTTAGGTTGTAAAACGTTAAACCAGGTGGATCATGCAAAATTGTCCAAGGTCAACAACGAAAATATAGTCAGCACGGATGGATTAACGAGACAACAAACTTCTCATACGATCGGAAAAAAATCTTCAAAAGATAAAGGCATGCACGTAATACGAACTTCTCCTTAAATGTCAACATTATAAAACCTTTATTTGATCATTTAGGCATCCCGCTCACCACTCGTGTCGTGTCACAAAATAAATCTCCGGTGGAGATTGCTAGTGAATTTCTCGACAATGCATTTATGGCTTACCTCGAGCCCCCTCCAAAGGAAGGTTGTAACACGGAAGTTGACGACCATTTAAAAGGGATCATCTTGAAAGCCAGGAAAAAAGCGTTAAGAAATGATTTCCTTTTAGCAGAATAAATTGAGGCTCGTGTTTCCATTACTTGAAAACGTTTAGGCAACATTGAATCACAAACACGAATAGTGTGTTGATTATGAGAAAATGGATTTAAATGCTTTTAATGTTATGAATAATTCACAGATCACGATGGAATTAAGCAAAAAAGAATAAAAATAAATTAATAAAATAGATATTAAATTATTGAAACCCAATTTTTTAAAATAAAAAAATAATAAATAATTTTTTCAAAAAATATATTTATCATAATTTTAATCTTAATATAATCAATAATTTATAGGGATTAATTAAAAAATATAATATAATATACATATACATATATACAGTTTGGTCCAAAAAAAAACCAAAATAAATTATACTTCTAATTTTACTTATAATTTATTAATTAATAAATAAAATATTATGAAAATTTGTATATACATATTTAAAAACATAAAGAATAAGTTTACTTAATGAACTTTTTAAAATATATTATCAAAATATGTTTAAGTTTTAACTTGAAAATTTTTTAAAAAATTTTAATGAATTTAAATTTATTTAAAAAAAATTATTATGTAATAAAAATTATTCAAATTATCTCAATAGATAAATTTGTTAAATAAGAATATATTTTATAATAAATTAATTTTTTTTATAATTTTATTATTAAAAAAATTCTGTTTGGTTTAATAATTTAATTAAACTTGTATATGAATTTTTTAAATTTTATATTAAAATCAAATTTTTTATTTAAACATAATAAGAAACATTTCATAATTTTTTTATAAGTTGAAAAAAATTTTTTTTTGAATTTTATAATTAATTTTTTTTTAACTTGTAATTACTATTTTAAAACAAATTATCAATTAGATATTGATGAAACTTGAATACACAATATTATTTCTTTTATTATAAATAATATGTTATATATTAAAAGTTTTATTTAATTTAAATTATCATTTATCAAATTATACAAAAAATTTAATTCTGGTTTTTTTTGGATCAGATTATATACTGTATATCTACTAAATATTAAATAAATATTCAATAAATTAAACAATTAATTCAATATCTAATATAAATAAAATTTTAATGTTTTAATTCAATTTTATTATATAATATTTTTCAAAATATTTATATCTATTATCAGTATTGCTTCTATTATAAATACAGTGTGAGTTATAAATTTTTGGAATTGGTTTTTTTAATATAATTTTTTTAATAACTATTTAAATATTATGAAA